AAATATAGATATATATTTATATTTGGTGGTGATCCTTCTGCCTCACCCTTTGAAGTGCTGGGATCACAGGCATGTGCCACCATGCCAGTTTGTTTTTATATTGCTAAAACGTTGTCAAAATAAAAACAGAGGACAATATATGACAGAGGCCATATGGGGCCTACAAAAGAAGGCTAAAATATTTACTATCTATCCCGATGCAGTAAATGTTCTTTGGCTCTTGCAGAAGCCCAGAGAACACTGGGGCAGACACAGAACTTCCAGGCCCCTGGCTCCTGCTCCTGCAGTATACACAGGGGAAAGGCCTGTCCTTCAAAGAGGGGCTCAGGTGGGAGCGGGGAGGCGGTGTGAAGCCGCTGGAGGATGTGGAGGATATCTAGCTTGGGCTGGGAGTTGAGAAGCCCAGTCTCCAGGGCTTTTCTGAGGCCCCAGACTTGGAGGGCCTTGGGAGGCTGCTTTGTCGCTGCCTCTGGCTGATGGGAAGGAAGGGGGTGGGGTGGGTAGAGGAAACAGCTCCCCCAGCCTGGAGGATCTGGAGTGGCTCCAGACCATTGTGTCCAGTGGTAGGCCTTCAGTGCGGGAAGGGGCGGCCTCAGGCTCCCCTCCCCCAGCCCTCACATCTGGTGGGCTGGCCCCAGCGCAGCTGGGAGGAGCAGCTGTGGTCTGCGCTGAGGCTGAGCCTCTGCCTCGTGACTGGCCTCTGGGGGTGGGGTGTCCCTTTCTGAAAGCAGTGGAGAATGCAGCGCAACGAGGAGGCTCCAGTCTTGGGCTGCATTTGGGGCCTCGGCTAGTCACTGAACTTCTGTGGGACTCAGTGGAAGGCTAGAGTGTGTCTAACCTGCCCCTCTGGGGACCAGCCATTCCGAGTCCTCCCTTCTGCCACTAGAGGCCAGTTTAATTCTGTGCAGTTCTTCAAGGCCGTTTCACTGGAGTCCAAGAAGGACATTCCAAAACTGTGTAATGAGAGAGATGTGAGTGAAGACCATGAGCCCTGCCCGGATGTTCTAGATCAGACTCCCTAATCCTTGGAGGCTGGAGTTATGGGGCTGCCACAGTGTTTAATCCTAATGGTTATGACCCTTGTTTCCCTTGCAGGAAAGTGTTGACTTTGGAGAAGGAGGACAACCAGACTTTTGGCTTTGAGATTCAGGTAGGATAGGCTGGGGACAGGGTGCTGATGGTTGGGAGGTCAGTCTGAGGGAGGGAAGGACCCATCTGCCCCTAGGCTGAGGGTCCCCTTGTTTGTTTCAGACTTATGGGCTTCACCACCGAGAGGAGCAGCGTGTGGAGATGGTGACTTTTGTCTGCCGAGTTCATGAATCCAGCCCCGCGCAGCTGGCTGGGCTCACACCAGGTACAGCCTGGGCTTAGAACACAGGGCTCTGGGAAGGGTAAGACTTTACTGCCGGTACAGGAGTACAAAATCTCGCCTGAAGTTGCTCCATCTTCCTACTTTGAGAAGGCTGTACAAAGAATGGATAGAACCGAGGGTTTGGGTCCAGGCAAATTTACTGTGTGATTTTTGCATAGTCCATGAGCAAAGTAGGGTAATAACATCCTCACGGCACAGCGCAGTGAGGGACTTCCTGGGCACAGCCAGGGCCTGGTAAGTGGTGGATGTTGCTACCCTAGTGATCGGCTTCCTCCTGGCAATGTGGCAGCCCAGCATGAGCAGGAACTGGGGAGAAGCAACAACCCACTGGGTCTGCTTAGTTCTGGGGATACCTATCCTCCCCCAACCTGGCTCAAGTGTGGGGTACTCATGTTCTCTCTCCTAACAAGAAAACGATCCCTCTGCCAGGAGACCCCTGCAGTTGGGCACATATGTAGTGCCCAGTTTCCAGGAGTGTGCAGCCTGAGATGGATGGCACAGATTGATTCCCTGTGCCCCATTCTGTCACTTTTTTTTTTTTTTTTTTTTTTGTCTTTGAGATAGGGTCTCACTATGCAGTTCAGGCTGGACTTGAGCTCACTTTGTAGCCTAGGCTGGTCTTGAACTCGCAACGATCCTCCTGCCTCAGCCTCCCAAGTGCTGCGATTACAGGTGTGCACCACCATGCCTGGCTCCTTTTTTTGTTTTGTTTCTTTGTTGTTTGTTTTTTGAGATAGGGTCTCGCTATGTAGCTCAGGATGGCTTCAAACTCCTGGTGATCCTCCTGTCTCAGCCTCCCAAGTGCTGGGATTACAGATGTGTGCCACCACACCTGCCTCTGTCACCATTTTTGTCCTTAGGCTTACTTCTGTGTTCACTTAGCCACTGCCCTTAATATATTACAACTTCACAAAACAGTTTCTCATATTCTCTCCCTTCTGATCACCCCCAAAGTAGCCATAGCAGAGATCCCCAGTCCCTTTACAGAGATGAGAGGAGCCCTGAGGGATGCTGGCATGCCCTGCCCGGGGTCAGCAGTTCTATAGTGGCACCAGGAATCCAAAACTGAGGCCTTTCATGCCTGGGGCCATGCTACTCATCCCACCCCTTTCCTGGTCCTGACAGGCATGGGCTAAACAGAAATAATCAACTGCAGGGGCAGCCCAGGGGCCTGAGGGGTCTCAGTCTCTGCAGTACCTGAAGGTAGGTTTGTGAGAGCTTAGCTCCTTTGAGGTCCTCAGCACGTTAGCTGAGCTAGGCCTGGACAAGCTGGTAGTCACCGACACTGTGGGCGGGGAGGAGTGGTTGTGGATTCATTCGTGTGTATTTGAGATGGGGGCCAGAGGTGTCCAGGAGGTCATCTGTGAGAAGCAGAGGGACGGAACTGAGGAGTTTAATCCTTGGGATTATCACACCTCCCCTGGCCATGCCAAAGGCTGGAATTCTTCCCTTATGCCCTGTAGCATACTCAGACTCCTCTCTGCCTTGCAGGGGACACCATCGCCAGTGTCAATGGCCTGAACGTGGAAGGCATCCGGCATCGGGAGATCGTTGACATCATCAAGGCATCAGGCAATGTTCTCAGGTATGTCTGGGCTGAATACCTGAGGGTTCCTGAGCTCAGCCCCTTGGTGTTTCCTGAGCCTCCAGGTGCACTCAGCCTTTGACCCCTCAATCCCTCAGACTGGAGACCGTGTATGGGACCTCCATTCGGAAGGCAGAACTGGAGGCCCGACTGCAGTACCTGAAGGTAAGACCCCAAGAATGTCCAGCCTCCGTGCTACTCTTGCCAGGCCGCTGCCCTTCGGGTCCCACTCTCCTCGGGGTTCTTTCGTCTCTGAATTCCTATAACCTTCATAAGGCTAGTGCCGGATACGGTGGCACATGCGTGTAATCCCAGCATTTTGGGAGGCTGAGGCAAGAAGATAGAAAGTTTGAGTCCTGCCTGGATAACTTAGTGAGACGCCGTCTCAGTAAAATAAAAGACAAAGCTTGTTCTGTCTCCTCTGATCCCTGTCTGTACCCATATCCTGCTGGTCTCTGCTAGCTCCTGACTGGGGACTGGGGCGTGTGTCTTACAGCAAACCCTGTATGAGAAGTGGGGAGAGTACAGGTCCCTCATGGTTCAGGAGCAGCGGCTGGTGCATGGTGAGTAGCAGACCAGGGCTGTTCCGGCCTCCTGCTCGGTCAGCACCTGGGTCTGTGTGTCCCCCTCAGAACTAGTGAGCTACTCCCCCACACACCACCTTTGCAGGGTTTCTTAAGTTGGGTGTCATACTGCCCCGGGCTGAGCCACAGCCATTTTTGGCTATTCTCACAATGGCCCTCTGGAAATGTGTTAGCATCGATTTCCAGGTGGGAACACCCAGGCTGGAGGAGTTACTTTAATCCTGTTTGTGCCCCTCATGTCCTAAGAGGGCCTCCCACGGGGTGGAGTTTATAATTACGGCCATACAGAGAGAGCTTGAGGCCACACAGATGGTCAACAGGAAGGCCCTGATCTCCCACCCCTGCCTCTGGCCCGGGCCTCAGGGGTCTCCCGGTGTCCTCTGCCCTGGCAGGCCTGGTGGTGAAGGACCCGAGCATCTACGACACGCTGGAGTCGGTGCGCTCCTGCCTCTACGGGGCGGGCCTGCTCCCGGGCTCGCTGCCCTTTGGGCCTCTACTGGCTGCGCCCGGAGGTCCCCGCGGGGGCGCCCAAAAGGCCCGGGGTGACGCAGATGACGCCGTCTACCACACCTGCTTCTTCCGGGGCGCAGAGCCGCCCGCGCTGCTGCCGCCCCCGCTGCCTCCCGC